TGGGGGGGGGTGGGGGGGGGGAGGCTGTGCATCGGATGAAACCGATCAAAAGCTTTCGCTGGGATGTGTTTAATCTCGTCCTCGGGACAGTCGTCAGTCCACCACGTCGCAGAATCACCAGGACCAAAACAACACGCTGCAGCTGGACACAGGAGAGAATACGTCTCCCCCCCTCCCCCCCTTCGGGTTCCACTCCTGCCCGTTTCACCGTGGACGCGCAGCTGACAAACAAAAACACATGGTGCGTTATTACGGTGAGTTGACTGCAAGTTTTCTTTGTCCCGAGACATGTAGCCCACTATGTGACATGTTGTGAGTTATTCTGAAACTCTTTCAAAATGTTAGGTTTTTACACAGCAGGAGCTTTATGTAATGACCTGAAGTGAATGTTATCACAATAGTTAGCAGGACTTGTGGTGGGCTCTTGGAGCAGAAACTGTACATTGACTTTTTCTTTAGGGTAGCTTTTCCTCTGTGTAGCACTGAAAAGATCTAGATTATCATTCTTTTTTTTAATTATAATAATTATTATCCTTGTTTTTACAATTTTTTAACTAGTATTTCAAACTGGGTTTTGCACTGGGGCCGTGGTGTGACGTTTGTTCCTCTTGTAGTTTTTCTATTTATAGTTAATATTCCTGTGTTTGTACACAGTGCCCTTGTTGGTATAGTAGGTGTCCTGACTGTAGGTTGTCACTTTGGTTTCATTCTGTCACAGTCAACTATACTTACAAAGATTCATGATTCAAAAACTTGCACACCAGTTGTGCAGTTATAAAGATAAATAGCAACTTAATATTTACATCTTTTTTTGAAGCCTGAATTGTTTTGCATCAAATATAATTTTTTGTTGTTTTTGTTGCTACTGTATATGTAAGTTGATGAAAGAGAAAGATAAGGCATGCATATTGTGACAAGCAGAGAAGCTTCAAGGATCTAACATTAAACTGGGAAGCAGTTTACAAAGAGGAAGACTTTATTCATGAAAGTATATGACAGGAACTGTCCTCGTAAGCAGTATAAAAACAAGAGGAATTACAGTGGGAAACCGTGGATGAGTAAGGGATTACAGAATGCATGTAAAAAGAAGAATGTGTTATATAAGGAATTCATAAAGCACAGATCAAAAATGGTGGAACAAAAATATAAGTCATATAAGAACAAATTAATTGCGATATTGAGGAGATGTAAGAAACTATATTACGCTAAAGTATTAGAGGATAATATAAATAACATGAGAGGTACTTGGAATATAATAAATAAATTGATTAGAAACAGTTCCAGCAAGAGTAACTACCCTCAATATTTCATGGATAATGATACACCGGTCAATAGACTGGAGGATGCAGTAGATAAGTTTAATAGGTTCTTTGTGAATGTTGGTCCTGGTTTAGCAAGAAGCATTTGTACAGATGATACATCCGTCACTATAAAGAATAATACAATCAAAAGGAATATGAGTTCTATGTTTTTGAAGCCCATAGTTGAAAAGGAAATTATAGAGAAAGTGAACAAATGTGGTAATAAAACATCTAGTGATAGTGATGGTATCACTATGACAATGGTTAAATAGGTAATTGAGGGGATATGCAAACCATTAACTTATGTTTTTAACATGTCATTTCGACTTGGGCAGTTCCCCAAAAATATGAAAATAGCAAAGCTTGAATGAATAAATCAAATCAAATCAATCAATCAAATACTCAAGAAAAGTACCTCAAATTTGTAGGCTTAAGTACAGTACTTTCCACCACCTGTCACGGG